TCACCTTCCCATTACCCAATCAAATTTTGGATCTAAAAATGAGCGCATGCGTCTTAAAAATATATCCGCTATCTTGAATTTCCATATTTTGACAAAATAATCATTATCTCCGACCCCGAAAACCACCCATTAGCAATTTTGAATTGAAATCTGACCATAATTACAAAACTCGTCCGCCATATTGGATCCGCCATCTTGAATTCACCCATTTTGACAAACGATTCTTATCTCCGACCTCCAAAACCTCCAGATACCAATTTTGAATAGAATGACCATAAAATAGCAAAACTCGTCCGCCATATTGTATTTCCAAAGTTTTACGAAAGAATCATAAACTCCGACCCCGAAAACCCCCAAATACAAATTTTGAATGGAATCGGATAACAATACTCATCCGCCATATTGGATCCGCCATCTTGAATTTTCGATTTAAAAAATAGATTACGAACGATTCTCATACCTACCGAATACGCACAAAAAATTTCATACGAATCGGTCGAGCCGTTTCGGAGGAGTTCGAACACTAACACCGTGACCGGGACAGGAGAATTTTATAAATTAGATGGCAAATTTTACATAGATATTAGGGTTGAGTACAAAGAATAACATTGAAAAATGTTGAAGAAATTTATTGAGAATACAATAATAATACATGTAGATTAATAATCTTTGGAATTATTATAACACGCACCTGATGTTTAACATTTAAAACTGTTTATCTAACAAAAGTATAATAGGGAATTATATTATTCATTGGTACTATTATTTCCCAGTCTCACATAAAAAAATATTATGAAATCTTTCAGAACACGTTGGCAAAAATATTGGTCATGTCCAGTCAAAATTAATCTGAATATAATAATACTACATACATATAATATTTCATTGATTAGGAGCTAGTAAAAATAAAGGAGGTATAATAAACGATCAAGACACACTATATGTAGTTATATACCGAGTGGCTACGAAAACAGGAACGCCCCTGTTAATTTTTCATTCATTTGAAATAAAACTATGAAATTTCATGTAATTGAAAATAGGTCGATTTTTGGGAAGATCATATATCAATCACTATTTTTTACTAGAGCTCATAGTGTTCTTCGTCTACTCTCATAGTCTCATTATATTCAAATTGATATCAATAGAATCGAAAGTTGAAGTCATATATTATGTCTCAAAGAGGGGTCGTTCAATTCTTGGGATCACTCGGTATATACCTATATAGAATAATCAAATTCAAAGGTCTGCATTGATCCTTATATACATTTTTAATATATATATGAACACGTTTTATAACATATATTATATTTCAGGAATGTTTTTCAAAATATTGCCATCATATGACCCACTCTATTAATGATATTGTTTCACTTTCAATAGATAGATAAATACATTCTTTAGTAAAACAACCATCATAACAACAATAAAATTTTGGAGCTGCTAAATCATCTAAGAAAATTTCAAGACTGTTTACTGTTACTTTAGTAATAGAGTGATTTTTAGTGCCCACTGTATATTCTCATTTTATTTACATTCATGTGATTGGAATGTGATACCGAAGTATTCAGATTCATAGGTATTTATAGTTAATAGTTTTCAAGTCGATGATAAATATTTGAACTTTGAATTAGTGTTCCATATTCCAAAATTGAAGGAACAGAGTAAACAGCCTCGAAATATGATTTATCTTCCACTAATTTTGATTCAGACAATGACTGTGAATTTTGTATATCGCAAAAAATATAATATGTCCATCCAGTGACTATTCCACTTTTGTTCTGGAGAACCAATCAGAATCAACCATTTTCAAGGTTTCTTGTGCATCAGAGCGATATTTTTTGTTTACGAACAATATTCTATCTTGCTTTACCAATTCAAAAGCCAAATAACACACTCGTGACCATAACTAACCTCGTCTTTCATCGTTAAGATTTTTGACGTTTTAAACGTCAACTAAATATGTTGGAAGCCAGAATGATGGATGCTGTTTACTTATGAAAACCGTGAAAACGAGTTCCGAATTACAGCACTGTATTTTGAATTTTATATTTCGAAAGACAGATTTTCAGCAGAGTCAGTAGATCTACTAAGGGTCCCCTGATGGAAATTGACGTTAAAGTCATCTTAACAGGGTACGGACAGATCCTCGTCTCCTCTCACTCTAAAGTGTTTGTGAAACAGTTATATAGTTCCATTCTTATTCAATTCCGGGGATAAACACTGGATTTTTGACATACGTTGTTTTTTAGGTTATATTGAGGTCACTGGCGTATCATACGTAATTTCCATATGGAATTCCTGATCCAACTATACCATGATATAGATGAACAATCCTCTAAGGGTATACTACTCCAGCAAAATCTTTGCGAGGTAGGGAACATATAAATTGTACTGAAAGTTATTAACTAATATATTTCACCAAAAGAGACTGTTCTTAGACTGTATACCAGGGTTGACTGAATATGACTGAATTGACTGAATGAATTCTGATTCCAAGCTGAGCAGTAGTTTATCTATGAGCTGAGCCTTATGATTGAGAAATGGTGGAAACATCGATGATGTGGGTATCTTAACTACTGCACTCATGTCATGTATGCTAAATATTTTTTCGGAAATCCAACTCGGAGAAGAATTTATATAGTGACTAATATCACACTATGTAAATCTATGCTATGTATAAAACTTCGTCTAGGACGAAAAGTAGGCTGATAAAAAGAAATACGTAAATGTACAGGAAAATAAAGAATAGAATATACTTTACCCCCATGTTATACATATGATTTTTCCGCGTCCCTTGAATAAAAAGTCATTTTAGAATAATTTATTGATGAAAGTAACAAAGATACAAGAAGGCATACGCAGTATATAACTTATAGGCACGTTATTTTCACTCTTGCATCCTACATATCCTTTATTTGTGGTAGAGTAATAATTATATAAACTAATGTCTTTCATATTGGATCCGTCATCTTGGAAGAAAACCCCCAGATACCAATTTTGGATAGAATCGGATCTTCATTACAAAACTCGTCCACCATATTGGATCCGTCATCTTGAATATCCCAATTATGACGAAATAATTATAATCTCCGACCCCGGAAATCCCCACATACCAATTTTGATTTTTGAATAGAATCGGATCATAATTACAAAATTCGTTCGCCATATTGGTTCCGCTATCTTGAATTTTCCAATTTTGACAAAAAATCATAAAGTTCGACCCCGAAAACTCTCAGATACCAATACTAAATAGAATCAAATAATAACAAGAAATTCCTTTCGCTATATATTGGATCCGTCACCTTGAATTTTCCAAGTTTGACAAAACAATCATTATCTCCAACCACCTCCAACCCCGGAAAACCCCAGATACCTTCCGATTTTGAATAGAATCGAATCATAATTACAAAACTCGTTCGCCATATGATCTTCCCCAACAAATAAAAACACATACCTATTATTAAAATTTTGAATGATTTTCTGTAGCGCCCACTAATGTGACGTGACAGCGATGTCAGGGATGCCAGTAGACAAAACTAAAGTCTCTAGATCATTGAAGAAGAATGCAGCTATGATCTGTCCATACCCTGTTAAGATGACTTTAACGTCAATTTCCATCAAGGGACCCTAGATCTACTGACTGTACTGACCAGTTGAATTCGAAATATAGACTTTATCGGTGGTAACAAGTGAACACATCTCTAAAAAAATATCAGAAGCTCCACTCTACAGTTCAATTAAAAATATCATCCATCGGATTCATGTTGGAGAAAAATGGACAACAGCCGCAAATATCCAATCATTCTGTGAATGACAGCAGTTTAAAATTCAATTTCAGCTGGACAGCTATCTGTTTCATCAGTCTGAATATAGTTATATAATATTATTGTGTATCCATACAGGGTATGTCACGACGAGCTCACACACTATATCTATATCCAGAGTCAGTCGTGAGAAATCCATGAAAATAGGCATGCTTATATTCTAGAATACGCTCTTTTCACTTAGAATATTTTCAGCAATACAGCGTTGCGCTTCTATCAAAAAGTAGCAACAACCTTGTTATTGCAAATAGAAAACAATGTATTTTATTGCATCTTCAGATTCTCCCTGAAGAGCTGATTTCATCGATATATCACACTTGGGGACTATCAGAAATGTTTGCAGAGATATAGGGTATTCAAAATCAAGATTTTTCAACTTTAGAAATTGTTTGTGTCGAAACTATGCATTATCGGCCAAAACGGCTCACATGTTACTCAACTTTTGATTTGATATTTACTGATATTTAATCGGAACAAATACAGGGAGATCGGAATTCTGAATCTTGAACCACCCTGTATCTGTTCCGATTAAATATCAGTAAATAGTTAATCAAGAGTTGAGATTGGGACATGTGAGCCGTTTTGACCGATAATGAATAGTTTCGACACAAAAAATCCTAATGTTGGGTGTTCAAAATCGAGATTTTTCAACACCCTATATCTCATAATTTTCGATAGACCATAAGTGTGATGTATCGATGAAATCAGGAGAATCTAGAAATGCGATAAAATACAGGGTGTTACATTTGAAATATCAATGTTTCTACTACTTTCTAGTAGAAGCGGCAACAATGTATTGTCGAAAATATTTCAAATGAATAGAGCGTATTCGAAAATATGAGTATGCACATTTTCATGGATTTCTCCCTACTGATTCTCGATATGAAGATAGTGTTAGAATGTCGTGACATACCCTGTATACTTACATTGGGATTATCGAGATTCAAAAACTCACAGCAATGTCTGAACATATTGAATATCTACCTATTAGTAAACATAGTGTCAAATTTTCGATTATTTAGCAAGATATCTCAGTTGTATTTGGTGATAAAGAATTGTGGATTCCTCATTATGCAAAGCGAACAGATGTCTTGTATCTCAAAAACAGGAAAGGTTGTGAAAGATATGTTTGCAGCACAACGAACTAGGGCAGCAATGTGAAAACCGCAACTGTTTATTTCTAACAGAGACTGATGAGATATCTCGTAAGATCATCGAAAATGGGATACACTGTACATTCATTAAATTTAGAGATTCCTTAAATGACGGGTCCTCCTGACCAATAAACAACTCGAAGATAGTCCACAAGAGAGTTTCGCTAGCTGACAGACGTTTATCGATCTTCTGGGGTAGTCAATTTTATCACCAAACACCTGGAACAAGTTGAATAATTACTCAACAAACTCAATAGTGAACACCGCATATCGATATCTATCTTCGTTTCAGAGTTAAAAAAGATGTTTTTCGAGAATGGGCATTTCTGATAAGTGGCACCCGAAATTCTAGAATCATTTTGTGAAGAACACTTCTCACGACAAACTCAATAGTGAAAACCGCATATCGATATCTTCTTCTATCAATAATTTACGTAACAATTAAGGTTTATATTCACTTTGAAGGACTGCGGTATCTCCTCGATACTGCGATGGACGAGCGAACCGTTCAAGTACAGGACGTTGGCTCCCTCGTTGGCTGCTTCATCTTCCGGTAGAGTAAGCGTTTCATATCTGTACGTCGCCTCCCTCTCCATTTGTACATTGAATTTGTATTTTGGTTCATTTCGGTAATGTCGATATTTCTTTATTTCGATATTTCGGTATTTTTTTATATATATTTCAAGTCAGAACGTGGGATACGAACGAATTTTCAGGGCCTACTCTATTTCACCGGGCCGTAGTCTATCCCCTCTCTCTCTCGACGCTGACGTCACACTAGTAGATTGAGATTTCACATCAGTCCGTACCTGTGGTCCGTACTGGTGCGTTCGTAATTGATAGGCTATAGCTCATTTACTATAAATTTTAGAAGCACACTATCGAGACGAAATGATCCCCAACGAATTCCTCAACTTTTGGTGAAAAAATAAATCCAATAGGATGAATCAATACCAAGTTATGGCGTTGTAACGAAATTCCATTTTATTGAAAATCAGGACGTTGTACTACAGAATACTATTTTTTGCAAATTTGGAATTGGAATAAGATGAAACTAACTCAATATATCAAACTACGATAATGAATCAATTGAATAGTGAAAAAATTGTAGAGTTGCCTACAATGAGTCCGAAAAAAATTAAATATAAAGAGCGCGTAAGAAAATGGGCCGTTATACCTACCTACCCAAATTTCGCTGTATTACGATTTCGCGGTAATTCCTTGAACTGGTAAAGGGCGATATATACTTTTTCCTCCGATTGGCAGCAAATATTAATTTTGCTGACACATATCAATCAGCAAAGTATTTCTTTTCCTGCCTAGGCAGCAAAGTGGGTACTTTGCTGCCTAGGCAGCAAAGTTGTTACTTTGCTGATTGATATGTATCAGCAAAATTGAAAATCCAAAATCGTTTATAATTTCCTTCATATTTCATCCGAGACTTCTCCGGCAACAAATTCAACTCTATATTTTTTGCCACCTCCCTTATTAATGGAGGTGTAAGTATACTCCAGGTCGCTATCACTGTCCATTATAAAATAATTTAAATATACCGATATTTTTTCGCACAACTTTCAGAAATTTCATGAATTGTCAAACCAACATCTGCGATATCGATCAAATTTTATTTTAATTGAACACTATAAAGGAAGAATAAAGAGATTGTGGGAATTGTATTAATTCGCAAATACAATATTCTCCCATATCATTATGAACAATCGGAGAAAAAATTATATGTTCAACTCGGCAGCAAAGTAGATTGACTGCCTTAGCTGAATTCCTAGCCTCGCTACGCTCGGCTATGAATTCAGCCTCGGCAGTCAATCTACTACTTTGCTGCCTAGTTAAACAAATAACTATTTATTACTCATTTTATTTCTGAATGGCGTATGGTTCAGACCAACTAATATTGGTGTCTGAAAAATTCGAAACAATATTTCTACAATGTAAGTCAAAACATAAAGTTTTGGAGAATTTTGCAGAAATTAAAATCAATTCCCTTCTCAATTATTCCGAGATTCAATGTTGCTGTTGTGGGTCTTTTGATAGAATCAGCAGAACATTATTATCTAAAACCATTTCAAATATTCTGTTGAACAATTATCGCAAAATAAAGAAAAATTAAAAAAGAAAAATCACTAAACTTTCAGGATGAGATTGTGATTAAGATGTATATATATTTTTTGTTATTAGTGTATTTCATTTTGTGATGTCTATCAATTTTTTTTATTTTGTTACGTTGATCATTTTAACAGTTTATTTTGTTTGGTTTTGTTTGTGTATAAGGATTCAACGTTTTTTTTTATTTTTTCCTTATTCATTCATATATCTTTGTTCTGGGTATTTTGTTATTCAGTTCGTTATATTCATTTTTATATCTCTCATTGTTGAGATACATATTTTTTCAATTATTTTTGTTAGGTTGTGTTCATATGAACTCCACATATTTTGTTCTTTTTAATTTTAATAGTTTGCAAATATATTCAAATCAAATTTTTTTCATGAATTCAACGTTATCATTCAAATATATACTCTTCAGCAGAAAATAATTGATACCGAATAGGCGTTTTGTGTAATAACAGTGATAGGATTTCTATAACGTCATCAAAGTGCGTCCTGATCATCTTTAGAGATAAACGCTGCTAAAACCCTTCGAGATAAAATGGATGTGTATCATACCGATTTGTAGGCAATCAAATTTCCTACAAAAAAGTCAGTGACAGCATATATCCATAGTTGATAGGATCAGCATGGGAGGCGTCCGAACTTTTTGAACTATTCTGTAATGAACACCTGAATCATCGTTCTACTTGAATTGGAATATCGGTTTGTTGTTGGCCCTTGGGAATTTGAAAAAAAACTCAGTCAATCTAGATACTATGCGAAATCTCTTCATGGTTGGATCATTTCTGTGAATTGAATATTGGAATTTTGGTAACTGTTTGAAAAAGGAAAATTCTGAATGACGTCAATTAATTTTGATATGCCATATTTCTGATATTAATGATCGTAAATCAGTGAAATTTGATTCATCTTCTGGAAAATTCTTTTCTGTACATATTTCACCTCTTAATATTTTTCGTTAACTGTGACCGTTTTCCCGAGGTTAATCAATTAAACGGGAGAGACAATTTCCACTGCGTTGATTTTGTCCCTACTAGTGTGACGTCACGAAAGCGATGCTCTGGCCCGGTGAGATAGAGTAGGCCCTGGAATTTTGCGATCGGCGTACTAGCGTACTAGACAAAATGAAAATGTACTAGGTCTAGTACGAAAGTACTAGGTCTGGCAACGCTGTGTGGGGTTATTTCATTCCATCATCACTTCGTTGACGATTGGACATAATAAAATAATACACTATACCCAAGACCCAAGTCCATAAATAGTATGGATACAGATTTTTAAGCGTTCGACAGAGGCGTATCGGCAATAATTTACGCAACAATTAAGGTTTATATTCACCTTGAAGGACTGCGGTATCTCCTCGATACTGCGATGGACGAGCGTACCGTTCAAGTACAGGACGTTGGCTGCTTCATCTTCAGGTAGAGTAAGCGTTTCATATCTGTACGTCGCCTCCCTCTCCATCCGCTTGAGGACTTCTTGGGCTTCTTTGCCAGCCCCCACGCACAGAAGATCTGGCCCGCCCATGGTGATCAGCGTTTTGAGGTGTTTGCTCTCCGGCACCTACGAATAGAGCATGTTTTTATTATAGACTGGATCTCCGTAGAAGGATAAAATAACAAATGGTTTATTCGAGTTCCAATTTCAGAACTTTTCAAGAATCGTTCTGCGCTGTCGTTTCGAATCCTACCATAAAACTTTTTCTCAACAGTAAATGCCTGCACAGTACTTTTCTCATGGAGGGAGGAAAATATCCCTCCTGCATGAAAAAGGTCACTATATACTTTCTTTAAACCATCTAACCTTACTCGGCCATTTTTTATGTTCTGGTTACCACGAAAAGGAATATCCTGTAATGTTCAGAGAAAATCGTGAGAACCAAGGGAAAGAGATGTTCTGCAGGTCCCCAAAGTGACCACGAAGGGGTGTGAAGCCTCAACTCGACGGGTTAATCGCGGAGACTGCCAAGGGAGGAACAATTGTTGATATTTCAGGAAAGCATCGTCCATGAAAATATCTATAAAATGAACATTCTTCCTAAAAAGACAGGACTTTTTTCAGAGAGGAAGTAAAATATCCCTCCTGCATAAAAAAGGAAACTACTTTTTTTGAACCATCTAACCTTACTCGGCCTAAATGAACCTGCTTCCTAAAAATTATATTTTTTGGAAAATCACTTGAGATAACAGAATGAAAAAAGCCGACCGTCGCAGGCATTGAACCCTGGTCGCCGACGTGGTTTTCAAACGCACAGTCGACCACGCCAGGAGTCGTAGTAACTGTGGTAGTATGAAGAAACAATTAAGTCACTGTACCCGCACTTCCCACGCTGATTATATTTTTTACCTCCTCTCTGTAAGCACTAATATTTGGATTCGAACGAAAAAGCGATTACTAGCACCGCTGCACTCCCCCCACCATTCTAAAATGTATGGCAAGTATACTCCCCAGACACTACTGGCTTCCAGACCAACCACAACGTTGAAAGATCCACGCTTGCGTGATACGGCTTCAGTTGTTTTTGTATAATGGTTTGAAAGTTTGAAAATTTTGAATCTGGTTTGAATTATTCGATATGTGTCCTTGTGCTTATCAAATAATAAAACTCATGAAATTGCAGATTTTCGATATGATATAAGCATTGATTTCGAACATTCATTATTAATAAATCGGAAATAGAGGTAAGCCTTATTATTACAATATCTGATGTGTTTATATTAGAGAACTTATACTTTGTACACCCCACCCCGTATATCATCAACAAGTTGCTCTTCAACCTGTTACGAATTTTCAAGTGGTTGGTTCTTTTACCGATGAGTGTATTCATCAGAAAAGAACCCCAAACAACTGAAAGCAGCTCAAGAAATCGTATCAGTAATTGACAAAATAATGTCGTGTGGTATCTAAGAAACAGTTATTGAATATTCACCTTTAGGGGGGTGCAAGGGTATTCTGGAAAAGCTGCTGCAACTGCTCTTGCTCCTCCTTCATTGCTCCATTGAGACAATCCCACGAAAAACTCTCGACCTATAAACAATTATTTCAAAAAATGTTTCGCCAACATTCACGAACAATCGAAAAATCATAAATAGGTATCGAGTTCAAAGGGTCTCATTACTCCCTTTTTTGTGTAAACAAGTTGTCTTCGCCACGACGAAAAACCGGGGGTGTATAATTTGCTGACCAAAATTAAAGTATGCTAACCGAGCTTTTCTGATTCAAATTTCCTCTTCAAATTGCATATTTGAATATCTCATATAGATATGTAGATGCCACTAGTGAAATTATTTCGATTCACCCCTTCAGAGGGGTAGTTCATTCTTGCAGTTTTTCAAAAATCCTTGCTGATCGAGCATTTCTGGTTCGTATATTTTCATCAAATTACGTATTTGGATATCTCATATAGATTTATTGATGTAACCAGTGGAATTATTTCGATCCACCCCTTCAGGGGGTGAATTGATGAAAAAATACGGGCCAGAAATGCTCGGTCAGCAAGGATTTTTGGAAAACTGCAATAATAAAACTACCCATCCGAAGGGGTGCATCGGAATTATTTTACTGGTGGCATATTAATATTCATATAGAAAATCCAAATATGCAATTCGAATAAAAAATTCGAACCAGAAATGCTTGGTCAGCATACTTTAATATTTTTGGTTAGCAAATTATATTTCCCCAGAAAAACCTGTTGTGCCAGTTACTGGGGGAAACGATCATTATAATTATGTGCAGTCGTCTTCAGAGATCATGTCGCACATGGACTGTGTCAGCTCCGTTGATCACTGCTGCAATAAGAGCGCTCATACCGTCCACGTCCAACTGCGACATGTTCGCTGAAGACGACTGTACCTACCACTATAGTCAAGGGGGAGGGTTCTGAGAGCCCCTTTGCCAGTAAGAGAACTTTGAATTCTTTAACTGGACGTTTATAACACTTGTTACACAATATACTATTACAACCATCATATTTCGATCAAAATTAATAATTACACCAAATGTGGAGTTTGTCAAGGCCATCTATAATGTGAAAAAATATTTCGATAAAATCTATTCGTTTTTGTTTTAAACGCAAAAAACAGATTTTGATCATTTTCATGTTTCCTCCGTAACTTCTTTATGCATAAAAATACTCAAATAGGAATTTCTCATTCTCATGGCAGTTTTTCAAAGTGATTTCGAAAAAAATATAAAATTTTCACCAACTCTTGAATTTGAGATATCAGCACCAACTTTAGTTTTTCAAATGTAGGTCAAAGCTCACTATGACTTAGTTACAAATAACTTATTTTTCTCTTACAGATAATATGTCGCAGTAATAGTTTTGTGTTGATAACAACGGAGTTATCGTCATTTATACAAAAACAAAAAATTATTTGGAAGCCGCCATCTTGAATTTATCAATTTTAACAAAAAAATTATGATCTCCGACCTCAAAAAGCCCCACTTACCAATTTCGAATGGAATCGGACCAAATCTTGTCCGCCATATTGGAGCAGCCATTTTTTTAAATTTCAACAAAAATTCCATGACTCCGATTGACTTGAAATTTGGCAGGTGTTCATTATTTCGGTGACAATACATTATGGAATTTTAGTTGAAATTAAAAAAAATGGCTGCTCCAAGATGGCGGACAAGATTTGGTCCGATTCCATTCAAAATTGGTAAGTGGGGGTTTCTGAGGTCGGAGATCATGATTTTTTTGTTAAAATTTATGAATTCAAGATGGCGGCATCCAAATAATTTTTTGTTTTTGTATAAATGACGATAACTCCGTTGTTATCAACACAAAACTATTACTGCGACATATCATCGGTAAGAGGAAGAAAAGTTATTCGTAACTAAGTCATAGTGAGCTATGACCTCCATTTGAAAAACTAAAGTTGGTGATGATATCTCAAATTCTAGAAGAGTTGGTGAAAATTTTATATTTTTTTCGAAATCACTTTGAAAAACTGCCATGAGAATGAGAAATTCCTATTTGAGTATTTTTATAAATAAAGAAGTTACGGAGGAAACATGAAAATGATCAAAATCTGTTTTTTGCGTTTAAAACAAAAACGAATAGATTTTATCGAAATATTTTTTCACATTATAGTTGGCCTTGACAAACTCCATATTTGGTGTCATTTAACCGACCTCGTATCTCTCACCGTTAAAAAGACACCCATGGTGAATTGTCAAACCAACAACTGCGATTTATATCAAATTTTATTTTAATTGAACACTATACAGGAAGAATAAAGAGATTGTGGAAATTGTATTAATTCGCAAATACAATATTCTCCCATATCATTATGAACAATCGGAGAAAAAATTATATGTTCAACTCGGCAGCAAAGTAGATTGACTGCCTTAGCTCGCTACCATGGACGTATAAAAAAGATATACGTCCATGCTCGCTACGCTCGGCTATGATTTCAGCCACAAATAACTATTTACCTGAAAAATGAGTCCCTGAAATCTACTGAATGTTGAAACACACTGTATATCTAATCGTTCCTCGAATCTTTTTAACGAGCTTCCTAAGTGAAAATATGGTCAGTTTTCTCAGTTTCATATAAAAAATGAGCGGAAAAAAATTCGCTACTGTCAGCATCAAAACAGTGATTGCTGCGTTCAAATTCTTGGTAAAAATATCTTACCGTTGATAATAATTCCAAGGATAATGGATATGCGAATAAGCAAAACCCGAGCCAAAACATTCAGGTATGCAATGCAAATATTAGGAAAGATATCATATCCGATATCCATAAGAATGGTCGAGAATAAAATGATGATGACGTTATCGAAATAAATACGTTAAATATGAACTGAGAATTCATCCTAAGAAGTACTATCGAATGGCATCATCAAGAATTGATAGTATACTTTGAATAACTAAAAAAAAAACACTTCTCCTGATTCTTTTCAATTTCACGCAAAGTCCAAATAATCCATCATTTTTTGTTCACCCAGTCATTGTCAATTTTGATAAAAAAATTGATTCAAATTACTTGGAACGTTGCATAGCAACAAACTTTTTCTGCATATATATGCAGTGAAAGTACACCTTTTCTGCCTGTTAAGTGTTATCAAAAATACACTTTCAATGTCATTTGGAGAAATGATGTATTTTCAAATCCGACTTGGGCGTTGAGTTTTGCTACAAGAATGATGAAAAATGGCCTACTCGGTCGGAGTCACGTGACTTTCACTACATGTCAAAATTATTTTTTCTCAAATTAATCTCTGAAAAAAATAAATTAAAAGTAAAAAAAACTTTTTGATGAAAAGCTTTTATTTAAACGCTCTGAAAAGAAGAAAATGAGATTTTTCTTAATAATTTTAACTATAAACTTATGACTTCATTATACACAATTTATATGATCATAAAAGATTGTCGCGCGATTCACTTGTGTGAATGAACTAGTACTTATTCAATTATGTAAAATCTGCTGAGATAACATTTTTGAAATTACAATTCAATTGTATATTGATCATCGCGACAAGCTTTTATGATCATATAAATTGTGTATAAATATCGATATTTCACATCCTTTATATAAGGAAGGTCAGAAATTTCATAACCATTTCGAGATATTGACTTGAATATTCGAGGAAGTTATACGGGATTATGTAACACTATTTTTAACCACTTGCTATGTCATAACTGGAAATTTTCGGAAAGTTTCGAACAATGAATCTTAAACAGAAAGGACGCATCTTTTGAATACTGCATTCCGATTGAAAATAAGTTGATTTTCAAAAAAGTTATCGCATTTTAAAAAAACATCGAAAATTCGAGTGGTTCACTTAATTCTTTGAGCACTTTATTTTAGTAAAATATTCCAAAACTGAATTCAAAATGTCATCTAATTTCCATGTGAATGGTCTCGTGAATGGTAGAGTCACTAGTATTTCAATATAGCCATGAAGTAGCGTATATAGGGGCGTAGGTAGATATAATTATATTGAAAAACTTTTTTTTTTTTCAATTTTTAGTATGAAACTTCTTGATATGAAGACTTGAAAAAATCGAATATATTGGGAATTATGGTTAGACTAAAGATTATCTTCATTTTGGTAAAATAATTACATGATCACGAGATGTATATAGCGAGGTATACCGGGTGTCCCAGCTCGTGTCCCAGTATACCTGTTCCAATAGATTATCTCAGCCATTTCGAAAGATGAAAATTTGAAAATTACATGATCTACTTCAATTCTAATGATTTTAAATTATTATTGAAGTCAAAATCGAGATTACAAAAATGTCGTAGCCTACTGCAATTCGTCCAATTTGAAATTTCAATTGTCGTTTTCTCCATCGAATCAAATTTAAAATACGAAGTGTGATACATCGTTGGAACGGTAATTTTGAGTAGAAATCAAAAATTGCAAAAAATATACAGGGAGCTGTTTGAAATAAAAAAGCTAGAGTCCGGTCAAACCGGAAGTGACTTTTAATTTTTCTTTTCGATAAAGTTTTTTTCCGCTAGATCAGAAAATACAGGGTGCTCGGAACAAACGATCTACAGGGTACTATTTGATTTTTTCAAATGGAACACCCTATTTTTCATTGTATTTTTAGATTCTCCCTGAAGAGCTGATTTGATCGATGTATCACACTTGGGGTCTAGCGGGACTGATTACAGAGATATAGGGTGTTCAAAATCGAGATTTTTAACTTTAGGATTTTTTTTGTGACGAAACTATTCATTATCGGTCACGCGGTTTTCATGTCCGTATCTTAACTTTTTATTCACTATCTACTGACATTTAATAATTGGAACAGATACAGGGTGACCAGAATTCTGAATCTTGAACCACCCTGTAAATGTTCCAATTAAATTTCACTAGCTTTTGGGTGTATGATAAATTGACATTCATCATACAGGGCGTGGAAATGAATTCTGAATTGAGACTCTATCACGAATCTGCGATTAGAGGTCTATAAAAATCACAAGTTTCCATCGTTCAAGTTTGAACCCCCTGATTGGGTATGAAAGTGTTGAAAAGGAATATTCTCAGATAAATTATGAACATACAAAAAAGGATATATATTGATATAAAGCAATACATTGAGAATTCGCATTCTCTATGTGATGAGAATATTTACTCTTTTTCAGTTAATTCAATAGAAAACAACTACTTTCCTGGCTATATGCCACGACGAACATTGAATTATATCTATTGAACACACACGACAAGAGTTTGAAAATAAAATATAAAAATTTCTGAAATTGAGAATTTGCATTCTCCTTCAGACAAAAATATGTATATACACACATCATTCTGAATATTCAACAGAAAACAACTACTTTCCTGGCTATTTGCCACGTCGAACATTGAATTATATCTGATGAACATTCAAAAGGGAACATGAAAAATAAAGAAAAAAATCCTCCGAAATTGAGAATTGACATTCTTCTTCAAATCGGATGAATAATATGATGAATAATGATCTAAAAATATGACTTACCAATATATTCAGCATTGAAATGAAAATTGGAATGTATAGGAGAAGTATACTGGCATGAACTCTGATCTTGATGAGCTTGAAAACGTCCAAAAAATAATCATTCATATCAGTGATATGGGAAATATTATCTCTCACACACAGGTTATATGACTTTATTGCAATGAACCCATTTCGGATCTCTGAATCCTCATCAGTAACCATGATGTCCACTTATTCTTACAGCCATTCTTCATGATATACACAATTTTCATCTCTATATAATACAACTAAAAACGAGTAAAAATATAACGAAATGACATCTGAGAAATTTGTTGACATTCTATTCCTGTCATTTGGACAATTTTAATCTTCTCCTGAAGATGCTAACATAGTTAGCGAAACACGTGTCGAGGCGTTAAAAAATCGGTTTGGTTAGTGGTAAAACAGTGTAGTGTATATGTTAGTCAGTCAAATTTTCATTCTCTTCAAGGTTTCCCGTTGGAATCCTGTTAATTATTCGGAAAGATGAGAAGATCGAGAAAAATTTCTTGTTTATTGAACATTTTGAGTTCTGTCTGGCGATCGATTTTTCGACGACTTCCCGATATCCAATCATGCTGAAATTTTACACATATCTTTGGGTCTGGTCAATATGGGTATTATCAGATTCAATACGGTTATTATGAAGTAGAATACAATTTATAACAAAGCTTGAGAATGCGAATTCTCAATGTATTTCTTTATATATACTTATATACAGGGTGGCCCACGGTCGATGGTACCTTAGACGTATACGGAAAACGGTACATTGGATTATCCTGAAAATTTGGTTACTCTAATAAGCGTTTGTGATCTAACGATTCAAAATATTTTCAGCGAAGCAGCGTTGCCACTTTTACCAAAAAGTAGCATGATCTTTGTTATTTCAAATGGAACACCCTGTATTTTATTGCGTTTTTAGATTCTTCTCGAAGAGCTGATTTAATCAATGCATCACACTTGGGGTCTAGCAGGAATTTTTACAGAGATATAAGGTGTTCAAAATCGAGATTGTTCAACTTTAGGATTTTTTTGTGTCGAAACTATTCATCATTGGTCAAAACGGCTAACATGTCCCTATATTAACTTTTGATCAACTATCTACCGACATTTAATTGGAAAAAATACAGGATGGTCCAAGATTCAGAATTTTGATCACCCTCTATCTGTTCCAATTAAATGTCAGTAGATAGTGAATCAAAAGTAAAGATAGGGACATGTAAGCCGTTTTGATCGATAATGAATAGTTTCGACACAAAAAATTCCTGAAATTGAAATATTTCGATTTTGAACACCCTATAAAATTCCTGCTAGACCCCAAGTGTGATACATTGATGAAATCAGCTCTTCGAGAAGAATCTAAAAACGCAATGAAATACAGGGTGTTCCATTTGAAACAACAAAGATGATGCTACTTTTTGTTAAAAGTGGCAACGCTGCATCGCTGAAAATATTTTGAATCGTTAGATCACAAACGCTTATTAGAGTAACCAAATTTTCAGGATGTACCGTTTTCCGTATACGTCTAAGGTACCATCGACCGTGGGCCACCCTGTATATCCATTTTTTTGTGTTCATAAATATATCTGAGAATGTTCATTTCAAATACCTAGTAAATTATTTAAACTCTTCTAATTGCTTTTTTACATAAACTTAATCGTCTGATCTCTCGAATTTTTCCTCTTACTTTCATTTTGGATATAACAAATCTTTGCCATTTTCAATCTCCCAACTCAACAACAAAAAGTTGAACAGTGTGACCATGATAAGGTTGCGCACGAGGTTCCGGGTCATACCTGGTCATACCAATGGATTTCGAAAATTTACAAAATTGTTTAAAATTCCCCATGGTTGAACTCAGAATAAAAAAAACTTTCGAAATCTGTGAACAGATAATCAGGGCCGTATTTGAAAAAAAAGTTGTTGATTTCTCTACGAATACGAAACGTCGCGTGGAGAAATCAATATCACCACATTAAATCTCATCAAGAGATGCCATGTAAAAGTATTTTTAGAGTTTTCTATATATCTAATAATAACGTAGAAAGACAAATAGATAGTCCAAAAATTCACTTTCTTTATACAAGGTGTTTCTTAAGTACGTGTAGAAAATCCAGGGACATGTTGCTGACGTCAAAATAAGAAGAAAAGTTCGTATAAATATATGTCCGAAAGTTATTCGTTTCTGAGATACAGAGTGTCAAAGTTGAATTCTAATTTTCGTTTTTTGTTAATAAATTTCAAAATAATTGTGATATTCAAATGAATTTTGGTAATTCGGGGTATTTTTCGATGACAATAACAAATTTTATGTTAGTTCATCTCTTTTTTGGGCGTACCTGTATCACGTTCTATAGTAGGAAAATAGTTTTCTAGAACACGTTCGTGTAAAAAACATATTCTTGGTAAAGGTCGCTGCGAGCAACAGTTTTCGAGTTATTGGGATTTTCAATAATCAATACTGATAATAATAATAACTGTAATTAAGACCAAATAAATACTAAAACCGAGACTAAAACAGTTAGTTGAGGGAATTGATTAAAGTAATTGTTCAAAATGGCCAAAAAAATAGATACAAAGAAGTAAGAATCATCATTTGGCTACATTCCAATGTTGAATTGTTGAATGGAGGAGAATATTGAATGACAGAAGAAAAATGCACTGACGTATCTTTTCTAACTGCTTAGAGTCGACTTACGAGCCCAATGGAAATAATTCAAATGCATCGATTGTTTCAAATCACAATATCTCGAAAACAGTTGCTCGCATCGACCTCTACCAAGAATATACTTTTTACACAAAAGTGTCCTAGAAATCTATTTCCTCACTATAAAACGTGATACAGGTACGAACAGGAAAGTTATGACTTTTCAAAAATTCAAAAGACATGTAGGTGGCGCCACCCCCACGAAAGAGACAAACTAACAGAAAATTTGATATTGTCATTGAAAAATACCCCTAGATACCAAACTTCATTCGATTATCACAAATATTTTGGAATTTATTAACAAAAAGCAAAAATAAGAATTCAACTTTGACACTCTGTATCTCAGAAACGAATAACTTTCGGACATATATTTATACGAACTTTTCTTCTTATTTTGACGTCAGCAACATGTTCCTGAATTTACTACACGTATTTAAGGAACCCCTGTATAACTGAAAAACTAAAAACAATTGTGAAAATTTTCCAAAGCCGTTGGCATGATCATCAAAATGCGCAACTTGTTTCCCATTTGACCGAATCCGTTTCTCTTCCTGTTCCCGAGATCCCTATATTACCTGAATTAGGAAAATCGACTAATGGTATTCTTCGTGAACAAAAGTGAAACACTTGTCGTAAACACAATTCTTGAATAACTGAGCAAATTAAAGAGTTCCGAACGATATCTCAAGAAGACTTCAATGAGCTGTCAAAATAATCATCATTCAAATCGGCAAAAGGATTTTGTTCATAACATTGAGATGAAAAACCAGATTTTTTTTCAATGTGTACCGGAACTTTTTTGCAAAATCTGTAAATGGTATACCTACTAATTTTTTATTTAAATAGGAAGAAACCTGTATAGGCTTCTGTCACTTGAATTCAGAAACACCCAGTAGTGTTTTTTCATTGCCCAAGTTTCGTCCTTGGGTTTGAAGTCAACCTACCCATCGATTGATTTTTTTTGCATTTCACGAATGGAATTCATTCGTAAACTACCTATTTTTACGCAAAATTTTGAAAACTCCTTGGGATGTATGATAAATCTTTAGGAAATTCCGGAATTCCTTGGGAAGTCCGGGTAGTCTCTGGGAATTCCTCAGGTAGTCCCAGGAATTCCAGGTAGTCTTTGGGAATTCCTAGGAATTCTTTGGGAAGTCCCAGGAATTCCGGGTAGTCTTTAGGTAGTCCCAGGAATTCCGGGTAGTCTTTAGGTAGTCCCAGGAATTCCGGGTAGTCTTTGGGAATTCCTAGGAATTCCTTGGGTAGTCACAGGAATTCCGGGAATTCTTTCAATAAAGGAAGTCTAGTGTACCCAATTTCAGCCCGTGATTTACCCCTCGCTTCAAAGTTTTATTTCTACTTGAAAACTATACCGAGTATCCGAGTAAAGCACAATTATTCAAAATCAAGAGAAAAAATTATGATATGATAATGGAAATTCTATACAAGTATAAAAATTCTGAATTATTCAAAAATTACAAACGAGTTTGAGATGACACAAGCAATATGGATGTTAATGCAGGTATGAACAAATTTATAATCTCACCAGAATCTCACCTGTGAATAATACATCTCCACCATCTAGTCTAGCATTGGCATCAGACATTTCAATAATAGGAAGGTCTAGCTCTTTTTTCAGGACTACTCGAATTGTATCTGTCTGGAACAAAAAATGTATTAACTAATTTTTCTGAAAAATTGTCATAAAAGGTGTTTTGTCGAGGTCATTCAGCTTTCATCTGCCTAACTTCAATTGGATCGAGGGTCAGATAGGTACACATCAAAATTTGAAGTTGCTAAACCCGTAGGGTAAAACTCCACCGAGAACTCCACGAACCTTTGTATTTTTCTCTTTGCGTTCTATCCCGCGTTCTATAGACAAAAGAGTTTTGGTGAAGAGTTGTTCGACATATTTCGAGAGACCGTATAATTGGGTGCTGAACGCCATATCGGGAAACAGAGTAATCATAAATGGGGCCGTATCTGATTTGCATGAGAAGTTGTTGTTGAAGGTTGAGGTGTGAAAGTAGCTTTCAGCACGGAATAAAAATTCGAGTTTCAGTAAGTAAGCAGCCTCACATAATTTTCCTATGAAAAATACTCATTAGAAGTTGATAATGTCTAAAGAAATAGAAAAAGGCCGCCATAATTTTTCAGGAAAGAGAGTAGGGTAGATGCCTTCGTAGATGCAATGGTTAACCGACCGGCACTGGTTAACCGACCGGCAATGGTTAACCGACCGGCACTGGTTAACCGACCGGCAATGGTTAACCGACCGGCACTGGTTCTCGACCGTTATGGCATTTGAGACAAAATAATAAGAGGACTATTCCTTATACCATTCAAATTATTACTGTTTTCGGCCACATCACTCAATTCAAAATAGCTGGCAGAGTGAGAAATAAAATAGAGCTTTTCGAACAGAAAATCATTTGATAACCGTCTGTCATTGACAGAGGCTGTGTTATTGTCCATTGTGAAGATTGCTAGTTGATACCTGGCCAGAGAATAGTGAATAACTCTCATTTTGAATGCATTAGGTATATGAGATTTGTTTTATAATAATTAAGTAGTAGATATATAGTTTTCCTTGTTTTTCAAGAAAAACCAGACATGAATAATATTTGTTAAATATTCGGTGGTTGCGAACCTGTTTCACAAAAATTGGCTTTTTTATTTCTCGACCTAAGCATCGTACTGTGGTTACGGATACTTTTACATATCTACTTGTTAAAAATATCTGTTTGCGACCATCAAATAAGGTCTGAATAATATTTCTTCCGCAATTTCACCATATACAGTTCCCGACTACTGTGGTCGAGAACCAGTTTGAACTAAATTTTGGTTCTCGACCATATCATATCTGATTATATCTCTTATGTCGAAGTATGAAATGATTTTTGCATTGAAATATGCACCATATTTCAACATGAAGTACCTCGTGAAGTACCTATTGCAGCTGCAAAAATTCAAAAATTTTATATTTATGTTGATTTTCATTTTTCGTAACTCTTTTATTAGGAATCGAAAACAATGACAGGGGCAATGACCATTATAAGGTCTTATGTTTGAAAATGAGTATTTTTTAGTTTTCAGGAGTCTGCCTGAGTATGATATGATTTTTGCATTATGATCTTCACACACTTGTTTCAATCATTTTATTTCCTTGTGAATCGAGCAAATGGATGGTTTTTTTCTTATGTCCTGGTTCCCACGAAAAGGGATATCTCGAGGGATATCCTGTAATGTTCAGAGAACATCGTGAGAATCAAGAGGAATAAGGTGGGAATTGGTGTTCTTCTTGAATTTCTGGAGGTTTAATGCATCGGGGAACACCGTTCGTTGGATGAAGGAGTCTTTGGAAAGAGATGTTCTGCAGGTCTCCAAAGTGACCACGAAGGGGTGCGAAGCCCCAACTCGCCGGGTAAATCTCCCGGGGACTGCCAAGGGAGGTACAATTGTTGATATTTCAGAAGAGCATCGTCCATGAAAATATCCTCGAAAATATCTATAAAATATGGCCAGATCGCCAACTTTTCTACGGTGTTCCAGAGAAGTGAGTGAGTTTGTGAGCAAGGCATCGCCCACGAGACAAATTGCCCTTTTTGGACAGAATCCAACAGTTTCAGGGTATGTTTGGGTGCTGCACCCCAAATATGGGAACAGTATTCCAGGACAGGTCGGATCTGTGCCTTATAGATCATAAGCAGCTGACTAGAAGTGAAATAGCTCCTGGCCCCAAACAGAAAACCGAGCAGAAAACCAAGTTTTTGGGATGCACTTTTAGCAATTGATCTCACGTGATTTTCCCAAGAAAGGTTATTGCTGATAGTGATACCAAGCATCGAAATGGATGTCTTCAAAGGTATGGTTACTCCTGACATGCATATGTTTAGCCTCGTGTTTAGCCGAGTGTTTAGCACAGTGAGAACCAACGTTTAAATGGTCGATAACTCTGCGGAGTGATCAAGAACCAGTAAAATTGTAGGTTTTAAGAAGTTGACTGCAAAAATACGCTTGAAAAATATTCTCAAATTACTTTCAAGTTATCAAAGAATATATTGACTAACTCCACAACAATGTTATGAACTTTCACATGAATTTACCACTCTGAAAGTTGACATTTCGGTTAACTGGTCGAGAACCGGTGCATTAACCCTATTATGGGTACAGGGTGTTTCAAATTTCATTCAGGAAAATTTGATCGGAACATGATAGGACTCCTCTTAAAATAAAAAGTAAATTTCATATAAACTTGTATGTTCGGAGCTTAGATTTTGAGATACATCAGGCTTTTAGAAATATTATTTGCCTATTTTCGTTTCGCTAATATTTTCATCATAAAATTTTGTGTTCTTCAAGCTGTTGATGTCCTGCTACAAAAAACTGACTCAAGCTGTCGATAATGGCTCGCTCGGATATAGGTATATTTCAATAACTGTGAACAATGCATTGCATGAATTTTTTGCATGATTTCGTGTTTCAATCGAGGTTTTGTATCCAACTCTCGATATGGCATTATACCTTCCTACTTTTCAACTCATCGGAATAAACCTCGGAATAAACCTTCTTCATGCATATATTCAAAATTGAAACAACTACACCTCGCCTATCTGCCTATACCTAGGTACCTTCCTAGGTATACCTATGCACCATCATTGGCACCAACATGGTACTCGGTAGGTATCTACCAAGTGGGTAATCCAGTGAGTATAATCCTTACCACCAATAATAATTAATGAAACACAGTAAACACACGGCCCTGTTTATTATTGTCGAGATTATTGTCATAGGTACCTATAGAAGACTATAACGTGCTATATAAACTAATTTCAAATTACATATTAAAATGGTATCGTCATCGTGAAACATTGAGTGAAACATTCATTGGAGGCATTGCGTAATTCCGTTCATCCCATTTTCTACCGATCATACTTCACTCACACACAACCATTCATCATTCATCCAACAATGACCCAATTATAGCCAATTGCCCTGATTACGGCAGCAAGGGACGCGAGAACCAGCGCAATAACCTCATCATAACCTCGCTCATAACCTTTACTTTACAAGCACACCAACCAGTGTTGCCAGAGCGAACAAATCAATTGTCGGTAGGTAGGTACAATCAGATGCAATGAACATGTCGCATGGGCGGTGATAGCACCAACAATGACATGTTCTTTGTATTGTCCGATGTACAGTCGTATTTAAAATAAACGGACAAGTAGGGTAAATGCACTGGTTCTCGACCAGTTAACCGAAATGTCAACTTTGAGAGTGGTAAATTCGTGTTAAAGCTTATAACATTTTATTGGAGTTAGTGTATACCGATTCCTTGATAACTTGAGAAAGTAATTTGTGAATATTTTCAAGCTTCTTTTTTGCATTCAACATTTGAAATCTTGATAAAACCAAAAAATCTACGATTTTACGTGCCGCAGAGTTCTCGACTATTTTCGTATTGGTTATCGATCACCAGCGATCAGTTTGTTTCACAAGAAAATGAAATGATTGAAAAACACTTGACAAGTAAAGATTACAATGCAAAAATCTTTTTATACTCAAGCAGACTCCTTAAAAACTAAATAACTAACAAATACTTATTTTCAAACATAGGAACCTAATGGTTATTGTCGAGGTTATTGTCCATATATTTCGAGATATATTTGTTTTTGATTCTTCAAAGAACTATGAGCATTAAAAATCAACATTAATCCGAGCATTAATCAAATATATGAATTTGTGCAGCTGCAATAGGTTCTTTATAGTGAATATTTTAATATAAAAATCATTTTATACTTTGACATAAGGGCGATAATAATATATATGGTCCCCAACCAACATTTAGTTCAAACTGGTTCTCGACCACAGTGGTCGAGAACTGGATATTGTCAAGTTGGTTTTCGACCATCAATAAATGAATTGCATAAGAACTATTATTTAGGCTTTATTTGATGGTCGCAAACTGATTGTTTACTAGTAGATATGTAAAAGCAGTATTTAGAAAAAAATAAAATTTGTCAAAGAAAGTATCTCGGAAAGTATTATTCATTTGAATAATATGAAATAAAACAAGCCAAATATTGTTAAACTAGTTCGCGACCACCGAATATTTAAGAAGAAAAAATGTTTTCCAAGAACTTTAATAACCTCCAAAAAATCCCCAACACCTACCCCCTCTCCCTATCCCCTCTACGTAGGTAGGCACGTGTCCTTCGAATATAATAGGAATTTCCAAGCGGATTTCCTTTCGTGCGCTCCAAGTGATAAATAAAAGACCCTTTGAATAAAATTGCAAACGTTCTGTATACCTTACAGCAACCTCTCATTAAAAGGAGGACTCAAAGTATGTATACTTAAGTGAGTCTCGAGTAAGTGAGACCTCAAAGGTTACTCCAAGAAGTGAAGGAACTCATTTTAACTTTGCCTCAACAGGTGGACATTTCACCGAATCTACCGCAACTCTACCAACCCCGGCAACCCCGCACAGCGCCACCCCAACGCCTACCTTCAGTGTTGCCAACTTGATGGATTTCACACTAGAACTGGTGGTTGAGGACCTGCGTATGAAATTCTCCTTGTTTTTAACATTATTATAATATCCACAATGTGAAACTAGAGAAAAAATAGTTTTTATAGAGAAAATAGTTTTTATAGAAAAACCTCGAGAAAAACTACTTTTAACTTAACTGAAATCAGTTTCTAACGGTTAGGTATGTCCATATTTTGGTTGTTTTTGTACCTACGATCTCAAATGTTTCGATTTTTCATGAAATCACGAGTGAAATGATACCGAGGAAAAAGCTAACCTCATAATATTGTTCTTCATGAGTTCTTCATGATTTTGAACCAGTTCTTTTATTTCATGTAATTATTTCTATAGAGGATTTCGAAAAAACAAGAACAGCATTTTTACGAAGAGGAAAAAAAAAGTATACTTCCTTTCTTTCTTCTCTCAAAACATAATTTTCCACCGTTTTCTACCTACTGAAGCCATCGAACGTTTTAACATTAGCAATTAATTTGAATTCATCATGTTTTCGAAGCAAACGATTGAAAAATAAAGCCAATCCTGATAGAAATTTGGAATGAGTCGAAATTTTGCATACGGACATTCGAAAGCATGGGGAAATATACTGTGCCGTTACTTTTCCTGCAAAATAATGCCTAATATAGCTCACCTAAAAGCAGGTACAACTAAAAATTCGAGTAAAAAATCGACTGTCATTTTAATAAAGACCTCGATAAAAACGAACCGCAGTGCCGATAATGATGTTGGTCTCTGAAAAACTGATTATATTGATGGTTATTCAATTATTCATATCTATCAGTCCGAATTTGGTAAGAATCGCATTACTCTAATAGCGGATATGCGGATATACTATACAGGGTATCCGGAAATTGTGCGCAGAAAAAAATCAAGGGAGTGATTTTACCTCGGATTTTACATGATAAAATAAGAAATGTATTCCATATGTACGTGGGTCCAGAAAGTTTTCAACATAGTGTGTTGAACATTAAAAAAAATAGTTTTTTTATGAATATCTCAAATGTCCCTCCACCGATTCTCTTCAAATTAGGCAATCATATTTTTTGTCATGAGGTGCTGATATAGCCATAATTCAATTGGAATTATGACATCCAGCATCCAGTGGCGTCCCGGAAGGCAACCTACCGGATATTATTGTCGATAAAATGTGCGCCACTGATTTTTTTGAAATCTGTATTCTCATAACCTATTGTCCAACTAAGAATACAACATTTTGGTTTCTTGAATTGTTTCGATATTTTGCTTCATTTCCATGGAAAAAAATAAATACCAATTTATTGCATAAAGTGACAACCATTTCTTCAGAAAATGGGGTGAAAATGAATGCGTCCATAGACACAGAATGAGAATGATGATTAATTTTCTTCAAATATCTCATGATACATGTTTGTCACACTCTACACTCTGTATATTGAGAACTATGTATTCACCGGGGTATTTCACGGCCCAGGAAGAAGTAGTTTTCAATAATACAAAGTGTGTCAAACATGTATCATAAAATATTGGACGGAAATGAATCTTCAATCTGATTCAATGTCTATGATGAACATGGATCACACATTTATTTTCACCCCTGTTATTAAAGGAATGTTTTGCATAAAGCATCTAAGCAAAATATCAAAACAATTCAGGAGTCCAAAATGTTGTATTTTCAGTTAGTCAATAGGATATGAAGATATAGAATTCAAAAAATTCAGTGGCGCACATTTTATTGACAATAATATTCTTCAGGGTGCCCCCGGGACGCCACTGGATTTCACAATTCGAATTAAATAATGGGTAAATCAGCCCCTCATGGAAAAGAATATCATTGCCAAATTTCAAGAGAATTGGTGGGAGGATATTTGAGACATTCATAAAAAAAAGGATTTTTTTTGTAAGTTTAATACACTGTATCTTGAAAACTATGCATTTCCGGACCCACGTGTATATAGAACAAATTTCATGTTCTCTCATGCAGAATCACTTCCTTGATTTTTTGCGCATAATTTCCGGGCACCCTGTATAGCGGTAGTAAAGTTAAATACCCATTCCTTACACTGTGGTAATGTCATGGATGTTATGAAGAATTCATTGTTCGTTTTGTTTTTTGCTCGAGAATTATACCCAAAGAATTACGGAATTCCAGTTGTTTGTAGACCAGAAATAAAACCAAATGAAACGCATTTCATCCAAGGGATTCCAGGGAATTCCAAGGAAATCCAAGGAATTCCAAAGAAGTCCAAGGAATTCAATGGGGATTCATCTCGGAAGAAATAAAATTATCGACGCCCCTCGATTTCAGTGAGCCAATTTGCGACTTTCGCAAATCTGATCTGGCAACACCGCCTACCTCTCTCCTGCGATGCTCGGCCCCCGGCCTTGCGATCAGCGCCGTCCCGTTGCACACCACCGCCGTGTCCTCCACGAAAGCGCTCTCTGGCAGCGCCTCGTCTGCCGGCAGCTCCACCACGTCCAGCCCCAGCTCGCGCAGCAGCCGCACAAGGCGTTCGTGCTGCTCGCGAGCCGCCTCCGCGTCGACGTCGCCGCGCGAGGCCAGCGATAGCGGCAGCCGGCAGACCACGGCGTGCGTGTAGCGAAATGCCGCCATTTTCTAACACCGTACTCCTTTGACGTTGGTTTCACGACTGCGACTGCGGCAAAGTGCGACTGCGGTCTGCGGCGGAGCAGCGCGGAGCGGGCAGTCGCGCGAATTGTAACGGCACAGCCGTCTACGGTTAACGGCAGTGTTGCCAGTACGGTGCCAAAAGCGTAATACTTACACTTTTCAACTTGATTTGCGCCATTATGGATTTTTTGTGAATTATTGCGCTTTTTCTTCTTGTATAGACTGTCAAGTGTATTGCTTATGTTGCTTAGGGTCCCTTGATGTAAATTGACGATTTGTCATCTTAACAGGGTATGGATAGATCCTCGTCTCCTCCGTTATATAGTTCCATCTTTATTCGTTTCTGGGAATAAACACTAGATTCCTGACATTTGTTGTTTTTTAGGTTATATTGAGGACATTGGCGTATCATACGTAATTTCCACATTTAATTTCTCATTCAACTCTAATATTATATCCAAATGATGATAATTTTCGAGTTTTTGATTTTTCAACTCCAGCATGATCTTTGATGTGTTTTGCAAATGGTACTGTTCTTAGGCAGTACCCTTGAATACTCAATGGCAGTACCTTTTTTTATCGCCTTATGGTTGTGAGGAATGGTGAAAAATGTTATGTAGGTATTCAGACTAATGTGCTCATATATGTCATGTGTGCTGTATACAGGGTGTTCCTTAAAGACATGCTAATATTCAAAGGGGTGATTCTCTGACTCATTTCAAGAAGAAAACTTCATATACTTATGAACAATGCCCTAAAAGTATTAACTTTTGAGATACAGGATGATGAAGTTTTGAAAAATATTCAGTTTTCTGATGATAACTGGGACAATATTGTATTCATCTTCATGAAATTGGGTACACGTCTTTTATGCATCAAGGTGCATTTTTTGATGTACGAAAATTTCCATTTTCTCTACCAGTGGCACCGTTACGGAAATATTATTGTTTATATTTTACATAAAAGTGACCAATGACAAAAAAAATTCAAATTTCGTATAATGCTATAAAAGCGACTATTAAAAACGAGACCAGACTTCAAATTTTGATGTCTGAGTACTCCATACAGGACATTCATTTCTGGATAACAACAGTAGTGTGTAACATTTCTGTATACCGATTCAGTCACATAGCAGACTGAATTTTGCCATCACGAAAAGCTATACAAGGTGGACAAAAAAAATCAGTGTATATTTTCAATATTAAAACCCTGTATTTCAAAAGTTAGGACGTTTACGACATACGTTCATCATATGGAGTTTTATGCTTGAAATGGATCAAATAATCGGCCCCTTGGATATAAGCATATCATTAAGGAACACCCTGTATATTCATGTTGGGAATTATTTTTGCAGTTTTCCACGAACACTCAATATTTCCTGAATGTAGGTATAATTTTTTAAATGGTAGGGCATATGCCCGTATGCCTCTTCTTTTAATCCTCCGTTTTAATCAAAACTGTTTCTATTAAAATGCATTCGAAAACTTGTGGGGGAAATCAAGACGAGTTGATGTACATATATGAAAACATTTTTTGACCCTCCATAACGAAGATACGTATTATGTGAAATTGCTATATAACTTTGATGGCCGATATTACAGAAATGATTCATCGTAATCTGCTGAAATTTGGCAGCGACGTATCTCTACTGAAACTATCCAAGATAACATAATATGAAAAAAAAATATCTAGGTCCGGACTTTGGAAAATTTCATGTTTCATTGTTATGTCAAAAAAGTTCACTTTGTGACCACTTTTCTCGAAAAATTTCATCAGATTCAGAAAGATCAGACAAAATGCTATAAGAACTGCACTTCAATTTACATGGCACACTTTGGCCGGTTCAATAAAAAAATATGGAACAAAATCGTTCGAATGAATTTCAAATTTCGACCTGGCTGATAACTGTCAACTTTCAACTGGTATCATATGTGAATTGATTTTTTCTACATTTTTGTTGAATAGTAATTGATAGAAGAATAGACGAGAAGAAAAAACACGATATTTTTTTATCGAAATTCCAGATAGATATTATTATTCCTGACTTTGTTTTATGGGTTTCAATTGAAGTAATGATAAGATATCTAGTAGGCCCTGTTTTCCATTTGTGTGACGAGACGTGACGTTTGTTGATAATCTGAACTCATAGGTAGGTATACTAGGCTAGTATACTACGTAGGTACCAACTGATGAAATTACGACATGAGGATTCATGTGCCCATATATTATGGTGATTTATCTAATTAGTTATGCGTGAACTCAGCTCCATTTTTTGATATTGATACACTTTTGCAAGTGATAAAAGGATGTTCATCCTCGTGAAGGTTTTACTGCAACGTATTTTTGGGTCTGGAAATATATATATTTTAATACCATAGTATACTATGGTATTAAACATAGCATTTGGATTTTCGTCTTGTTCAGCATTTCAAACATGAAGTGGCACCTAGAGTGCAAGAATAATTCGATTACCAGTGTTTACCTATCAACAAACGCCACGTTACATAAAATAAAAACAGGGCCTACTTTATAACAAATTTATAAAATAGAGTCACGAGTAATCATATCAATCTGGAAGTTCGGTCAAAAACTAACATGTCAAATCATAACAAAATCAGAACTCTGTCAATCTTCATCCAATAAAAATGTACAGAAAAATCAATTTACACGTATCCAGTTGAAAGTTGAGAGGTCGAAATTTAAAATTCATTCGAACGATTTTGTTCCATATTTTTTTATTGAACCGGTCAAAGTGTGCCGTGTAAATTGAAGACCAGTTCTTATAGCATTTTGTCTGATCTGATGAGAAATGTTTTCATATATATACATCAACTCGTCTTGATTTCCCCTATTAACCATTTGGCTATGTCAGTCTTCTCATGAAACACCCTGTATAACTATTGTCACTGCATCGCAATAATGACCGAAGACAGTCGGATAATACTACTATGCGCATGCACGAATATCTAAAATGTTGATGTTGCCCATTTCCATCAGATATAATAATAATAATAATTATGATAATAATAATGATAATAATAATAATAATAATAATAATTTATTAGCCCCATGTAGAAAATATGAAAGGATCACAATTTAAAATAAAAATAGGTGGTCAAACTTTGGGAGTATATAGAGTGAGTGAAATAATTACGAAAACCTCGGTAATATTTTTTTCTGAAGTGACCCCCAAGAAAGATTCAGCCCCTCAAAGGGGGGCCTCGGAGAATGATTTTGTACTATTATCGCCAACACCTTGTATGATGAAAATCTAAAATTTTGTTTATCCACTAACTATTCAGTGCCGGTTCGAATGGAGTTAAAATCACCTCAAAATTAAATACAGGGGTATGTCAAAACAGGGAGGTAGGGGTAAAAATAACCCCAACTTTTTTGTTCATCGCTATTTCAGTTTTTTTACATGAAATTATGAAATCTCAGGGCTATTAACATAGAAAAGGAGCTCTTGTTGGATCTCGATAAACTGAACCATTAGCGAATAAAATTTATTTTTCCAAGATTTCATTTAAATTGAAATTTTGGTATGCACTTGAGTTTAATTATCTAGTTCAAATCTTGCAACTGAATTTTCACCTACTTCTAATCGTCTGATCAACTTGGAATCTGGCAGATGACAGTTGACAACGCGTTATGGACTTTTTGATAGAAAAAAATAGGGCGGCTCCAATGTGGCTGACCAGATTTGTGATTATGGTTCGATTCGATTCAAAATTGGTTTGTAAGGGTTTTTGGGGTTGGAAATTTTGAACTCATTGTCGGAATTGATGAATTAACAATAGACGACGAGTTTCGTGATTATGGTCTGATCCTATTGAAAATACTAAAATGAAAAATATTGTTAAAAACAAGCTCTTTTTAAATTTTATTCGCTAATAGTTAATTTTATCGAGATGCAACAAGCGCACCTTTTTCATGTAAATAGCCCTGAGATTTCATAATTTCTTGTCAAAAAACTGAAATTGCAATGAACAAAAAAGTTGGGGTTATTTTTACCCCCTACCTCCCTATTTTGAGACACCCCTGTATTTTATTTTGAGGTGATTCTAACCCCATTCGAACTGGCACTGAATAGTAAGCAGATAGACAAAATTTTAGATTTTCATTATACAAGGTGTTAGAGATAATAATACAAAATCATTCTCTGAGGCCCCCATTTGAGGGGCTGTATCTTTCTTGGGGGTCACTTCAGAAAAAAATGTTACAGAGGTTTTCGTAATTATTTCACCCACTCTATATGCTCCCAAAATTTGACCACCTATTTTAGAATCACCTTGTATAACGTTTTCAGAACAATATGAGACTTGACCATTTAAAAAATAAATAAATAAAAATCACAGTGGTGTCTCGTAAAAAGAGAAGTCAAGAAATTCATCATGTGAATAGAAGGCATTCTGATCGGTGCATTATTCAGTACAATCGGCGATTTGTTAAAAAGCTTGAGAGATGTATAATTAATTGGCTGTTGCGTTTTTTGGAGCCGGTGATAGGGTATACTCAAGAGGATCGTTTGTTCCGAGTATCATAATCATGGTAGGATGAATGATAAATAGTTCTCATTTTCCTTTACAAACATGACACATTGTAAGATGAAAGCAGAAGGTAAAGGTAGAATATTCAACCTTGTGAATAACGGTTTGCAATGATCTCTCGGTAACCATCAGCGTTCCCCACGACTCTCACGACTTTTTTTGGAGTTTGAAAATTCTATCACTGCCCACAGAGTTTCCCCAAAATAAAAGTCCATAAGAAAAAATGGCATATAGAAGTTACTATAATAATATGTAAGTGCAGTATCCACAGTGGTGAATTTCATTATAGATTTCTAATTTGGTATACTACTTTATTCAATTTCATTGCTGTGTAATCGATGTGATCTTTCCAGTTCAATTTTGTATCAATGTGGATGCCTAATAATTTGACATTTCTTTGTTGTTCATGATTGAAGAAAAATATTTCATTGATTTTTCCTGTATTAAGTTTTAAATTGTTTGCTGAAAACCATTCAGACGATTTTGTTGCAGTTTCCCGGTTTTCCAGATTCAATG